AACAGCTGACCGAGCGAGTTCCCGCCAGAAAAAACAGCTGATTAATCCGTCGCTCAGTATGACAGCAGCGTGGGCGATAACGTGGGGGAAATTAATCCGTCTGTAGAAAAATCTACTTTGATATGTGTCAGATGTAAGTTATAAATCCGATAGATGAATGTGTGTTATTCGTTTGGCGTTCTCCTAGAGTATTCTAGTTTGTGTAAATAAATATTGTGAAATAATATCTATAGGTAACATGTGTACAATCATAGCTTTCTCTAGTACAGAGTCTGTGTATTACAGATAAATTCTCAGTCACACACACCCTTCTGTGTATTAGAGGTGGCTATGGTACAATAGGTTCCTTGACGATGGTTTAACTACATTGGGAAAGGTAAATACTCAAACTAACTGGCGTAAACTAGCTTTTGGAAATTTCATTGAATTTTAATCTAAGAATTTTCTTAAGAAAAGGTTTTCAGTTTTATATTCATGACTAATATAAAGAACATTAACCTGATGAAGGCTGTCAAGTAAAAAAAACACAAAAACATTGGTTGATTACAATTTCTACGTAGTTATAAATAAATGGAAGGTGTTAATACGGTTTTTTACCTCATGTAGTAAAAGTTGTAAATAAATAAATAATAGTTGTAATAAATAAAGGATCCACTCAATTAATTTTTCCCAGCTCAAAAATTGTTTCAAATAAAAGGTTTCATTCAAATGCTATATGATTTATCTATCAAAGTTCCAATTTTATTTTGAGAACATATAGCAACGAGGTAAGTTTTTTTGTTTTTTTGTAAGTATATGTTAATCGAGAACATTTAAATAGAAACTTATCCAGGGGAATTAGTAAGTATGTAATTATTATAAGAACATACTGAGAGGAGTTTGTTAATTATTAAAGTTTAAAAGTATAAACCATCAAAATACAATATAGGAAATCCTGAGGATAAAGATAATATTACAACGAACTTGACGAATTCACGTGCTTTTAGGAAGTTAGAAAAGTTTGATATAAAGGGAAACGGGATGAGTTCCAAAACTAAACAATGGGAAGAGAGAGATGACTTTTGTTCGTTATTTCTATCTTAGAAAAACGTATTTATTCGTTTATATCTGAAGTAAAATTATTTGTACGATTTTAAATGAATGTATATTCAGCTACATAACATTCAACGCATAACATTTTTCCATAATTATGCTTAGAAGGAAGAGTCCATCCATTATTTCAAGAGGCAAAATACAATTATTTGTGTGTGCAATTGTTATTGGTAAGAACACCTGTATGGCAAAAACATTGTTAATGATTTAAAGCACTCTGGGTTACGGTAAAGGGTGACATACCGGTATCCAAATTAAAACAAATCACCCAATTAGCAAAACCCGGTGGTCGTTATCCCTCCCCCTTCCCCTTCTGTATCCGGCTGTACGTAGTCCGTGCTTTATTGATAACAGGGATTCATTATTTCTAAATCTAAAGGTCCAATCTGATCTCTTATTACGAGTTGTAGAATAGTATAAAGTTAATACAATGTCTACTACTATCTAAAATTGATCCCGAACTTTTGAGAAAACTGGTAGTCGCTCACCTATCAACCACTTTTACTTAAATAAAAGGTCTCGAAGAGAAACTTCCCTGAAAAATATTAGTTTTTCGATTAACACTCTCCTTAGGCACGAACACCAATTAAATGGTTGTATTTAACCACTTTCAATTATTGAAGATACATTATATGTTACATTTGTTTTAATTCAAAGGTTTTTGTTTAATTTTCCCCTAAATTAATCTTTGTATTCTTTCGAGATGTTAACATGTTTACGATAAAGTTAGTAGTTAGTCGTACACAATAGATTATCATCAAAAAAGCAAAAATTACGATTGAGATTTGGCTGTATAATCAATGGTAAGTGTGTGTTAATGTTTTTACAGTAGATTTAAAGACCCACATAACTCTAAGTATTCTTGCCCTGTTTCGAAACACATGCATGACAACTAGTTTATCCAAACCAAAAAGCACAAGCTAAATTAAGCGTTGTTTCCTTATCAACATGTTGCACAAGTGTTGATTTAACGAAAGTGTTATTGACATTAGCTAATCGATTCAGTTGTCCGCCATGTTCACAATGGCCAGACAGGAAACCAGCCGTGAAGGCACAATAGCAGAAAATCGCGACAACTCGCACAATGGTATTGTGGTCATTATAGAGATTCTTCATTGTGCGGCCACAATGAAGATCGGTGTTTTATAATAGGGGGTTTCTTCAAGGTGTTTGTTAGGAGCGTCGGGCGCGCCTTGACGATTTGATACGCGATTTCAGCTCTAAACGGGGAATGAGCGTGTGTTCAACGACTGTGTTTTAGACAAATTGTGATGGAAAAGAAGACAGGATACGTTAAAAAACTGAGATGGGACAGGAGAAATACTGGGTACCCTACTTATATCTTAGAAAATGTTGCAAACCAGTTAGAAAGTCTTATCTTTGAACTACAAGTAATTTTAAACTGGGGCAAAATTATGAATGTGTCAAATCAAACAATCTGTGTCAATTCCAAGCGAGATCGTTTCCAAGCGAGTTGTTGTGGTGTGATAACATTCAGAAATTTAGTGATCATTAGGGTGACTCTTGTAATTTCTGTACTACAGAAAAATCTCATATGTTTATTGTTTTACAGTGCTGCTATTGAACCAGATGACACGATACTGAAAACCAACACTCCCTTTCAATACTAATGAGCCGTTATCATGCAGGAAACATTCAATTGTGTGTCAACCTAATTAAATCACAAAACACAATCATTACAAACACAAAGGCCCAATCCCCACACAACGGCCGGAGTGATTAATTCAGTGAATACAAAAGATATACAAAAAGAGTAGCAACGACCAACAAAGTAGCTTGATGAGGTTTTTGTCGCTTAAAATGACATGGCGACGTTTTGACGTAACATACGTCTTACAATGGACGTCATGTGACAATGGTGACGTCATGATTGATTGAATAGACAAGTGATGTAAATCAATAAACTAATGGATATAGGGTGGGTTTTGGTTCTGTGGGTGGGAGGTGTGGAAATATAGACTATACACAAGTCGTCCAAAACTAGTTCATTTATATTACCTTAGCCTTTTCTAGATAGTAGCTAAATTTGTTAAATTAATATGATTGATATAGGGAAAAATTGCTATGATTGGGGTAAAAGTCTGAAAACAAGTTAACCGAGTAAAAACCAAGATAATTTACAAACTAAACAATACAAAAAGAATTCCAAATAAGTTTATCTAAACAAAACTAACAGTGCCTGTTTTAATTTTCCCTTACAATATTGATTGAATGCTTTTGTGGTCCTCCTGAATTCACCTAAAGAAACATTATGTCAATAAGAAAATTGATACCAACTAACACTGCAATGTTCCTAATAACATATCAAAAGATAATTAATAGTAATGGGTAGTAAAGAATGTATTTATTAAATTAGAGGAAAATATTAAAAAGGTCGTTTTAAATAATAAAAGTAATTTGTAAATTATTATTAAAATAATTTATTATTTGTAGAAGTGGAATGAATTTACAAAACACTTCGTGGGTCGCAGATAGTATTGAGGATTTTTTTAAATTGGGGAAATAAAAAAAGCAAATTGGATTAATACAAAATTTGCTAGTTTATGGAGTGTTTTAGACACACGAAAAAATTTATTATTATAAGTTTTCATAATGTAAATTAGAACTTTTGTGTTATCAATTATAAATCAATTATAACTTATAACAATATTTAGATCTATTTGTTTTCATCATTAAAACAGAAGCTTAAAGGTAATTTGTGCATCAATATCCAACACAACCATCACACTGTATTATAGCTTTCAGTCCAGTGGTAATCTTCTATTTTAATATTTTACACCGCTATGAGCACTGTATTCACCGATGCGATGGGTTATTTCACGCTGCAAGATTACTGTTTGAATATTTTATCGATAAATTTAATGGAAAAGCTTTAATAACTAAACATGTGTTTTATGTGTAGGATAAATAATGAAAAATGTAACTAGATAAATGACGCATTGATGGATTGGTTATATTGACATTCAGACAAATCATAATAAGCCACCTAAAATAATAAATGTGTAATAATGTGAAAACATATGTGTAGTGTCGACTATTTTGACGCATTATTTACGTTGTTCACGAGACACTCCAGTTTATATAATTTATCTCAAGATGGCTACCCGAATCCACTTCCATCTGTTCAACATCATAAAACTATTAACAGTTGGAAACCGTAAATTAGGGTTATTTGAACCGCTGAATTAAATTAACTCTTCTTTTGCAGCTGTTCGAACTTAGCCAATCAACGGATCGAACTCCAGATGTTACGCCAACATAATTAATATCCTTTTGCGATCTTCATTTATCACTTGATAGACTACAATAGGCTTCTGACGTATTTTCTGATATTTGCCAATTATTAATACGTACATCGGTATACAGTTGTATTATTGAAAACTAAAACAATATTGCGTTAGGTAAACAATATGAAATGCTTCAAATACTTTACTTTTTGTTGAATATTAGGCACAGTATACAATTCTTTTTGTACTTTAATGAAATTATTCGTTGTCAAATTGTTTCACACAAGCATCCCCACATAGTTTTTGATTATGGCTTATTAATGTATTTCAATGCACTCCTTGGACAATTTGCAAGAATGGATCGGTATTAAACATTATCTATTACGTATCAATCATCAAAGTACAATGTGTCAAACTTATATAAATGGTGTAAGGTTAGGTTGAAATCCCAAATTGCCAAAAAAATTATAACGTAATCTATATTTATTTTGTACAAAGATTCCAATTGAAAAAAAAGAAAAACGGAATGAAAACTGCGCTGCGAACTGCCACTTGTGGGCTTTGCCACAACACGCAAAACTTATAAATATTATCGGATTTTTTTTCAAAAACAACATACAAATGAAATAGGTCTATAATACGCCACATCAGACAGCCTACCTGCAACTTGTAGAGTAGCGTTCCTGCTGGCCACAGTCCCGGCAACGTTGGTCGCCACGCACCAGTACACACCGCTGTCTGAGTCCTTCTTGCCGTGCTGGACTCTCAGGAAGAACAGCGAGCCTGCGGGCAGGATGACCCGGTGGCTCTTAGCCTCGTCCACGGGTGCGCCATCCTTGTACCACGTGACCCTTGGCTCAGGTCGACCCTCGGCCTTGCAGTTTAGGGTGACGGGTTCGTTCCGAGGCACCACCACGTCGGAGGGGTGCTCAGTGATACGCGGCGATCGGTATTGGCCTGAAACAATAAAAAGTTTTAATTTGTATACATAATTTCCATAAAAATAATTTTTGGATGAGTCAAGGAACAGATGGTAGGTTATCTTGAGCAACAATCGGAACAAGCAATGCTACAAAACGTTTTCACAGTCATCCGGCTCGAAGGACCAAAATGTCTGAAGTTGGTGCTTTGAGAGGTCGTATGCATGAATCTATTTTGTTAAAATTCCAATAAAACATAAGCTAATATATTGTTTAGATTACATTATACTGGTTACAACAAGGGTTACAATATTTTAAGCTACTCAACCAAGAAGTTTATTTTTTACAATTCCCTACAACAGTTACTGTATTATTATTGTTTAATATTATGACATTTAAATGTAAATAAGTTCAAACCTTTCGTAGTACTATAGAGAAAGTGTTGGTGATAAATCACAATCATTTAAATAACCGTAACAGGGTAACAGCTGTTTACTTAACATTTGGAGGAACTATTGGAACTAAGGAGCGACCCTGTACTCGCTTGTAAACTCGGGGTGGAAACAATGTTATTTGCAAATGTCAGTCTGGCAAGTTGCAGCGGCAACAGCTGGGTTTGTTGTTGGGAGACAACAGAATACATCTGTCGGGCAGAGATCAACAACCTCGCTCAGCCACGCTTCGGCACTTGTTTGTGGCCGAGTTGTTGAAACTGAGAAACTCCTATATATAGCTCTTGATTGTAAACCAACCACGTGGTTAGTGGATTAATCCGAGAGAAGTTAGTGATGTGGTTTTCGCAGTAAATAGTCCTTGTTATGTAATATTTTACCTTTCCTGTACTTGGGAAAAGGTACAGTTAAAGAGATTGGTGGGGTTTACCAAGATTTCCAATAACTTACTATCATCATGTTTATACGTAGAATTTGTATGTTTATTCGCATGTTTGTGCACTTTTATGAATGTTTCGTGGTTCAAAAAGTAAAATATTAGATCGACTTGAATCCAAGACAACATTTTTAGATCATCTTAGCATCTTTAGACTATTTTGAATTGAGTACCTAGTAAACTTAGAACCCTGACTAAAGTCTCAGCTGCTCAATATCATTAGACTTTTTTGATTGCCTAACTTGGTGGATAACTAAACAAAGCTAGTCTTAGCCAATAACCTCCTTGTTGTAGTATTTTACTCCATTCCATACGAAGCTTGTCACTCGTTGTGTTCGTGTATCACGAGAAAACATCTCCAGTTCCCAGTTCCTAAGGATATAAACATACAAACTTGCCCATCAGTAACCAACTTTCACAGAATACGACCCCAAACAGACTTCCACTTACTCTACTCAAGTCAGCTGACTCCAAGGCACCACCTGCGAATCTGCCTACAGCTGAGCCAACAAGTGATAACCACCCAGCATAGACAGGCACACTGCGCAGGCAGCAGGCAGCAGCCCCAGCTATCTCGGCTAAGTGCAAACCCTGCTCGCCCCATAAACATGGACCATTATCTGGTCCAGACGGAGCCAGGGGCCTCCCACGAGGAGAAAAGGTCGATTCACACACATCAGTCCAGTCACAGTTCCGTTACAGTGCAGTTGCAGTCCAGTTACAGTCCAGTCGCAGTTGCATCCGCAATTTCCCAGTCAATTGTCCGTCAGTTGGTTTCAGTCAGTCTTCCGTCTCTAATATTTACAGTAATTTACAGTCAAAAAATTTAAATTTTAAACCTATATTCTATTAAATTATCATTGTCCATCTTGTTGATTGTTACAAACAGTACTCAAAATACAAACGCAACCATTTTAACAACAATAACACTATTTTCTAACCTCAAACAGTTCCGTCAGGCGTCCGAAGAATCAAAAAGTATCGTTGGAAAGAAATCTGAAATTGACTGACGGATGCCAGCAGAGTGACTGACGAGACTGCAACGGATGAGTGTAGATAGCGCAATAGAAAATCCATCAAAGAATATTTTTGATAACTGTGACGTACCTGAAGTGACTTTACTGTGACGTGCCGTAACTGATGTGTGTGAATCGACCTTTGGTCGTCACCAACACCGACGTGGGCACAGTGGTCCGTAGCAGGATGTACGATAATTATCGTATCCGCACCAATAATTTAACCACCCTTAGGAGGTTAGAGGTTTCTGTAAGTATAAGTTGAATATATTTGTGAGTCCTACCAACACAGTGTTTGGTTAGCTATTGAGCATTTCCTGTATTTCTATTTGTTTTGGCGTGTGGTGAGCTGTTGAGCATTTCCTGTATTTCTATTTGTTTTGGCGTGTGGTGAGCTGTTGAGCATTTCCTGCATTTCTATTTGTTTTAAACTACTTCTCCGTGATAAAGTTATCCGGCTCGAAGGACCAAAATGCATATGTGGTCGCATACCTTAAATAACTTTGTTGAAATTGTAATCAAACTATACTTATATTTAAAAAGAATGTAAAAAAGAACAAATCCAAAGTGGTAGATTAAACAAATGGAAAATAATACCAACCATAATATGACACTGTTTTTTATTTATGGAGTACAACTAAAACTGTTGAAAACTTAACTGTCAAAAACTGTTAAATCTATGACCACATATAAAAGGAGTAAACGGTCTAATCTTTAATCTATGCAATGACGTAGAAACCAATTATTTTGGTGGCTTCGTCATTTAAGTAACCACTGACCGTATTACCAGCAAAATTGAGTGATTTCTGACCTTTTTTGATAATTTGTAGAGGCTGCTCTAGAAACCAATGAAGTTCAGAATATCTTGTAGTATATGGATAACGTTTTTATCGTGTTTTCACTAAGAAAGGTTTTTAAAGAAACAAATTATCATCAAATATCTCCCAAAAAGAATTGGGTAGTTTGATATTACAAGATATAACATTCGCTCTGGCCTTGCCGCCTCTGTACCCACGCTGGCTACGAGGTGGTCCGCCAATAATCCCTTGTTATTACTTTCATGATTTACTGTGTTTTGGACGCTTGAACGTGCTGCTGTCAAAACGTCCAGTTCTAATGATTCTGATACGTTCGGAACCGACGTACAGCTTATTGTTATATATCTTGGCTTATGTTTGTTTGATTGTGACTTAATCATTTCTTGATTGCTATTTATGAGGGGATTAAAACTGTTATGTTGGTAATTTGTCTTGTCGGTGAAAGTATTCGAAATTTGGATGTAGTGTTTTATTCGGTTTTGAATGTTGTTGTATAAAATGATTTTTTATAGATGGTGCTAAAATTAGGCAACTTTTTAAAGTAATTAATTGTTTATCAGTTTAATTTCAGATAGGCAGATTACTGTGCAATTAGAATTCAGAAAAGCCTATCAAAAGCCATCAAAGCCATCAAAAGCGAGCCCTTACAACTTCGAGATAAACATAAAATTGGTTTGAACTAGCGTTTCATTCCACGATTTCATTTATATCTCTCTAGTAATTATGTTATCAATCGAAAGGGCAACGTTACGAAAAGACCAAAACTTGCACATCTTACAAAAAAAACAGAAATGTCGATCACGTAACCGTTGTTTTCTTGTGCATAATCCAACAATTGTGTCCTTTGAATGTTTCACTTTCAACGCTGAAGGTTGCTGTTCCGATCCCAAACTACCATTCTGGGCCATGATTTCATTTATTATTAGCTCAAGTAATGATGTTATCAATCAAAAGGTCAACGTTAAATGGTAAAAAGAACAGAATTCGCACATCTTACAAATAACTAAAGAAATGTCAACCACGTAAAAACACACAAAATTAGGATATCTTAGGCAACTTAATTGTCACTGGTCTGATTCTATATCAGTTGATCTGTGCTGGATCATATTTTGATGAAGTGTTCTGTAGTTTATCAGTGGATTTATGGGACTCATATTATCAGTGAGACATAACTTCCGGGAACATCTTACCGCTCAGCGACCATTGATTTACAGACTCTTCTATCACGACTCTACAATGTTGGTGAAAAACAGTAAGATAATTAATTTTCGTATTGATTTGAAAACCAATATGAATTTTGTTATGACATTTTGTGGATTGAGTTGTCCATCACAGAGGTGTTGGGTTATATTATTTCTACTTCAACGGCACACCTACAGTGTCGTTTGGATTCCAAACCATTGGGCCCTCACTTAGTATTTTGCCACTGGTGATTGGAGAGATTTGAACCCAGGGTCTTTAGAGTAGAAGTCCTTTCAAAAATATACATAGCATGTAGTTTTGATTGTTATGTACCTGTCAAAAAACTCATTGATGAAACAATACTGACTTACCTACTGCCATGGCCACTTGTACCCAAGCGGGTACTTGGCCTATCCAACACATTGTCACCAGTTCTTTCGGTCCTCCGAATCTTCCCCTACTAATGTAATCTTTTCCACATCCTTCCGGACTTGATCCCACCGCCTAGCCTTTGGACTTCCAACTGGTCTCCTTCCCTCGGATCTCCCTTTAGTACCTTCTTCAACAAGCTCTCTGCTTATGGCCTCTCCTTTAATACCGGGGTCTCGGAATGTATCCCTTAACTCTTGGAAATTAAATTCATATTGCTGTTAATAAACATTTGTTCAAAAAATAACTAAAAGCAACTCACACAAAAGGAAAAATAATTGCAAAAGGTTCTTGAAACTGGGTAACTCAGTAAATTCTAAACCCTCTACATTAAAAGGTTGAACATTCCCCGTTTGTTTAAAATATGATGAAACACCTTGGGGCAAGTAAAGCTTAAAACATCTGTTTACCAAGGATAATATCTCTTTCTTAAGGAATTATTAGCCCTGGTGTCACGGGGTTGGTGAGAAAACCTTATTTCTCTTGAAAACAACATCGTTGTTTTAGGGGATGATTTCTGAGGGTCGTCAGAGGATAATGTCATTGTTAGTCTTCTCCAGTGAAACTCAGCTCTCTATTTTTCTTACCTCAGACCATTACTGATGTGATTTTAATTTTAACAAGATGGTTTTGTGGAATATAATCTAACATTTTTAAATGTATTTAAAATAGCTTGTTACGATTAAATGTACTAGTTAACCACC